AAGTATTTGAAGGAGATGATGTTTGAGATTATAAATTTATTCATTCATCAGAATACAAACATTTGAGAGTCAACCACATGCCTGGCTTTCTGGTGCCGGGTTCAATCTCTGCCAGTAGCAATAATGATTGGGGGCTTGAGGGAAGGCAGAGGGGATGCTTTATGTGCCCCTTCCCCATGCTTCCAAAAATCCTTCCCCTGTTTACCAAATGGGCAACTGATGCTTTTTAAAATCTTAATAAAGTACCATGCAAACACAGCCTCTAGACAAACAGTTATTTTCTCTTCCAAAAAGTTTGCCATTTTTAAGGCTCCTCTAGAAAAAATCCAGAGCTGCATTGAGTCCTGATCTTTACGGAGCTTGAAGTCTGATGGGAGAGACAGGCCTTACATACACACATAAACTCACAGGGATTTAACATAGTGGTAACTGTTATAAAGAAAAGAAATGGTAATTAAATGGTGATAATTATTATAAAGAAAATAGGTGAGGGATTGGGGGTTGCTGAGTGGAAGCATTTTAAACAAGAGCTGAAACATTTTAAGAGTTAGCCAGGTAACAATAGAAAGGGAAGAGAAAAAAATGTTTATTCAAAGGTCCAGAGGTAGGAAAGAGCTGAAAGCAGGCCGGCCTACTGTGTTTGGAATGAGATGAGATAGGGAAGGAGATCTGGGGTAGGAGGAGAGTGCCAGCGAAGGGGGAGAGTGTGGCCAGGCCACATCCAACACTGGGTCTTGTAGACCAAAGAAGTTCACATTTTATTCTCAGTGAAATGGGAATCAATTGAAACCTTTCACCAAGAGCTGTACTCCAAGTCACACTCAGTAATACACTCTGGCTGCTGCTGTGAGAATGGATTGGAGGGGAAAGGGTGCAAGTGGGGAAATCAGTTGGGTTAAGGCAATAGCTCTAGGTGAGAAATGGAGGCAGCTTTGCTTCTGCTACTGGCAGTAGAAATGGAGAGATGTGGAAGGATTTAAAATGGATTTAGTACTGGGTTGGAAAGACTGACTCCCAAGTTTCCTACTTGCTTTAGCAATTAGGTGGGTGACAGTGTGTTTTGCAAAGATTGAGAAGCCTGTGAAAGAAGATGGTTTGGAGAAGTAGGGCAAGGGTTTTAGATAAGTGAATTTATGAAGTAGCAGTGAGGCACCATGTGAAGGTGATAGAGACGTCTGGCCCATGGACTGCAAAGAGAGACCTGGCGGAGAGTGGAGAGTTACTACCATTCATGTAGACATTAGCTACGGCCATGGTGGATGAGGTCAGCTGGGGCAGCACATGTGAATCTGTGCTCTTATTCTTTTTGTAGTGGGTCTTGGACGTCTTTGGAAAGCTCATAAAAGCTGTACTTCTTTCTTTCAAAGTAGTTGCATTCAAGCCCTGACTGGTGTGACTCATTTGGCTGGGTGTCAAACTTCAAAGTGAAATGTCACTGGTTTGATTCCCAGTCAGGGCATGTATCCGGGCTGTGGGTTCGATCTTCGCTGGTGTGTGTGTGAGAGGCAGCCAATCATGTTTCTCTCTCACATAGGTGTTTCTTTCCCTCTCTTTTTCCCTCCTTTACCCTCTCTCTGAGAGTAAATTAATAAAAATCTTTTAAAAAGTATTTGCATTCAAGCTTAAGGAATTTATAGACCCCCGAAGCCTATTCACAAATCTTGTAAGATTTATAGATGACAAATTAAAAAAACAACAACAATAAAACTGGTGTAGAGACGGAAATGGACCCTGGATTGAGCCCTGGTGAATAATAGCACCAGTTAGAGGACAGAGGAGGAGAGAGAATTCCAAAAGAGAATTATCAGACTAACAGAAAAGTGTTTCTCAAGAATGGGAACTAAAGGCTGCTAGATGGCTAGAAAGATAAGGCTGGAAAGGTGTCCACTGGCCTTGGCAACAGCGATGACCTACGGAAGGTACTTGCATTGTCCCTCTGCAAAAACTGGAGGGAAAAACACTGGATGTTGGCGTGGGACATTATGCACACTTGGGTGTTCCCGTTTGATGGCAGGCAATTTTTTTCCCCAGTGAAATAGGAGGTCAGGTGATGGTGAGAGAGGAAGTGACACAAGGATGGGGATTTTGAGGATGGAGGATGTTCAAAATAGTCTTTGTAGAAAGTAGAGTTAGAGGTTACTGGGAAGGCTGTTTCCTCTTTGTTCTGTATTAACTGGGAGGATGGTGATTCTGGGTTGGGTGTTAAAGAGTGAGTAGGATTAGAGGAGAGAAGGGAAGCATGATCAGCAATCTGACCCATAATCATCATGTGCAGAGAATCAATAAGCTTTCCAGAACTTCTCAGGACTTATTCCACTTTCTGTCTCTCCTTTTCTGGCTTCTGGTTTCTCCTCCTTTTCTAGCTCAATCTTTTCCAGCAGCCTATAAACAAGCTCAAGCCTTTCCCAGTGACTCAGCATATCCTCTTGTGTTCAATTTTTCTTCTTTCCACACCCAAAACATCTGTAAGAGGGAACTTTTGAAAATATTCAATCACTCTTTTTCTTTCTATAGTTTTACCTTGCCTCAGTGCTTGTTATCTCACTCTGGGGATTTTTGCCGCCTCTTGAAGTCTAGGGCTCTCCGTGGCCCTTTAGAACACTGACAGGTTGCTGCTGGATACTTTGGGAGTACACATGCAGCCAGAAGCCAGGGGTACTTCTGCTGGATTTTAAATAGGAGTGCATTTTAGACAATTCATTCAGAGGCTCAGTGGAGAATGAATTTGTCTGAAGGAGACTGTTAGGAGGCTGCTGTAACAGTTCAGCATGCAAAGGATGGCTGGAATGCATACCAGTGGGCATGGAGGTAGGAATTTGAGGCTTATTAAGGAGGTGGAATGGATAGGACTGGTTGCTCGTGTAAGGCGAAGGGCTGAATCAAGAATGACTCATTTCTTCCCCAGCTTTCTAATTCTGATGACTGTAGATGGTGGTGCCAACACGCTATGATGCCAATAGCTGAGGGAGAAACAAATATGGAGGTAGAGGATGAGTTCAGTTTTGGACATGCTGCGTTTGGAGTGCCCTTGCTATATCTAGACAGAAGTGCCTGGCAGGCGGTTGGATATTTGGGTCTAACTTTTGTGGAAGAGGTCTGAGCGGGAGATTGCTGATTTGGTAGTTGAAACTGTGAGGGTGGAGGTGATCCCCTGAGAGTGGAGTGAGCGGAGCTGTGGGCATAAAGTGGAGTCTTGAATTTAAGGTGCAGATTCACAGTTAGTACCACTTAAGGATGCTAGCAAAGGAGGGAGAGGCCTTATTTATTGAGATGAGAGAATTGGAAGGCCAGTTTGCCAAGTGCTGAGAAATGAGGAAGTGGACACAGCCAAGTTTGACCACTGGTTAAGAGGTCTGCCTGAGGGGGAGAGAAACACTTGGGTGCTAAGTGGAGAGGGCACTTTGAGTGGAAGTTTGGCTTGACAGTTTTGTTTTTAGGACTTGAGAGATTTGAGCTTGTTTAAAGGCTGAGGGGAGGCCCTGGCTGCATAGCTCAGTTGGTTAGAGCATCCTTTGACATGCCAAGGTTGTGGGTTCAACCAATAAATGCATAAATAAATGCATAAATAAGTGGAACAACAAATTGATGTTTCTCTCTCTCAAATCAATAAATAAAAATTAAAAATAAGTAAATAAAGGTTGAGGGGAAATAGCCAGAAGCCAAGGAGCTGGAAGAGGTGGAAGAAGGAGCTTTCAGGGCTCAACCCAAATGTATACTCCTTACACTTTGCCCAACACTTCAACATCCCTTGTCTTATTTGATCGTTTGAACACCTGTGAGATTTGAAACAAAGGGTAAGACTGAGTCCAGGCGTTGGGAAAAGAGGTGTGGATCCATTCCAGTCGAGGGCGCAGTCCATTCCACCATGCTGTGTGCACGAACACCATCCAGATCTACACAATCTAGGGGGCCAAGAGCAGCATTTTCCTGGCTCCCCTTGAGAGGACATCGTTGCTACTGGACTCTGGGGGCAGTGTGCTGCCTCAGATAAGATGTCACCATGTATTGAGGACCAGGGGTGGCAGACCTCAGAAGTGTCGCTAGGTTTTGCCTACGAACGAGAGCCCCAGAGCCCCAGAGCCGGAATGCTCCATCTCTGGGGAAGTGTGTCAGGTGGGTGGACCAGGGGCCACCCAGCGAGTCCTTCCCCTTTCTCATGCTCAAGCAGCTAAGAATTCTGCTGGCGGTCAGGTGGAACAACAACAACACAGGTGGACCGGCCTCAAGGCGCGGGCAAAATAGATTCAGAACAGAAAGATGGCCGGAACCCCAGGCAGCAGGTGGCTGAGCACGCGCTTGCGTCGCAGAAGGAACGCCGCAAAACCAAACTCGTGATTTGTATCTCTGGCCAGGGCCCTGCCCAGAGATAAATCTGCGGAGGAAAGTATTTAATATGCATCCAGCACTGTTGGAAGAAACTCCTTCCCGCCGGAGACAGTTTTGTGGGCGCGTGGGAGCTTTCACTTGGTACGCCTCCCAGTCCTCCGCCCGAGGCAGGCAGGGCGCGCCGAGCCGGGTGTCCGATGCTAATTATAGTAGTTTTCTGTTTGTTTCTGGAGGGCAGGGGGTGCTATTAAGGAATGAAAGAGACCTGGATCTAGTTTTCCCTCCATCACTCTAGCACAAGCTTCCTCCGTGACCCCGACTCCGGCCAAGTCAAGTCCAGGCCTCACACTGGGCTTCAGTTTCCCTGATCATACATAAAACGAGCATTTGAACTATGATCTTGTCTTTGCATGGCCAGGTGGCCAATTCCACCTCCTCCCGCCCCGCAAAACGCTATCCTCTGTTAGTAACGTCCTCCAACACCCAGCTCTTTCGGAGTTCCCTTCCCCACACTCTCTTCCCCTCGCCCGGTTGGGGGCCCCTAGGGGGAGGTGAGGATGGGCGGGGGCCCGTCCCCATCGCTCCTCCCACCTCTGTTGGCCCCACCCCTCCCATCGTCCCCGCGGCGCCCCTCCGCCGTCGGCGCTGGGTTGAGGCTGTCACGTGACCTCACATCCGGCGCGGGAGTCCCGAGCTGGCTGCGCGCGCTCCCCCGCCCTCGGGTTCTCCCGGTAGCGTGCTCCGGTTGCCAAAGCGGAGGGGAGGGGGGTATCGCTACGTCGCTGGCGGTGGGAGGCCGTTTCCAAGTGCGGACCGCCCCCCTCCCCTGTCCGCGGGCCCTTGCCGCCCTCCCTTGTTCTCGCTCTGCCTCGGCTGCACGCCGCCGCTGGTGCGCCGAGAAGAGCGCGGACGCCCCGGAGCCCGGCTTGGCCCGGGCCTCTCCCGGCGCCTGTCTCCCCTCACCTAGAGCCGCAGTGCGCGGCGGCGGCGGCGGCGCCACGAGCCCCAGCGACCCGCGGCCGCCGGCGCCGGCCGCGGGCGATGGGGCTGGGCTGAGGCCAGGCGGCGGCAGCGGCGGCCCACGGCCCCGGCCCCCGGTGGCCCCTGGGCTGCACCGGCCAGGAGGCCGCCAAGGAGACGGCGCGGCGGCGGCGGCGGGTGAGTGGCCTGGGCCTTCTCTGAGCGGTGGAGGGTAGGGCGAGCGGCGCGTGGAGCGGGTGGGTGCTGGTGATGGGGAAGGTCGGAGGAGGCGGATGGTATTGTCGGGGCGGTGGGTACCGGGCGCGCTGCGGGTGGCCTCCGCCGCCGGAATTGGGCATCACTTCTCCGTGAAGGTGTGTGTCCAGTCTGGAGGGGATCTCTAAGGCCGCGGAATGTGTGGGACAGGTGAGGTGGGAAGGACGGATCCGCGTTGTTGGCGTGAAGGCCTGGTTTGGACACGCTGCTTGGCGGGCGGGCGACTGTGTGTTGGGGCTTGGGAGTGGGACGGCGCCCCAGCCCTTTTAGAAAGTCGGGGAGATCGTGTGGTCGGAGGTGGGGGTATTGGCAGGGCGCTCGGTGGGTTTCTGCGGGTGCGGACGGAAGGAATCTTTAACGCCCTCAGCCGCGGAGTGGAAGAGCTCCTTGGCAATCACCGCCTTTTACAGATAAACTAAGTGAGGCCCAGAGAGGAAAAATGACTTTGCCTGCCTAAGGTCTCTCGCTTTGACTCTCAGAGTGAGGATTAGAAAACCAGGGCTCTTTCCCCCAATACGAAGGTGGCTACTCTGTTTATGGCCTTTATTGCCTTCACAAAGTTAGGTTCTCGATCTCTTTTCTTTTGGGCGGGGGTGACCAGTCAATCGGATGACTGGCAGTGGCTTCCCAGTTTGTAAAGCTTTTGTGACAGGTGTTTATCGTTTCCTCTTTCCATAGATCTGACAGCAACATCTTTGGATCTTGGTGTCTGGACATAGGAGGTATGAATCACTCACATAATTAACTGCTTTTAATCATCAGTGTCTTAGAGCTATATTTAGTGGTTATATTAGCACAAAATGAATGGGTATGGAGTTGTAAACCTAGAAACAGAAACCAGTGTTTCCTACATGATTATGAGCTAAAGGAGTAGAACATTTGTGTGTATAATAACTATTTTATATCTGAGCCAGAAGTTAGAATTTTAAAATGCAGGAACGTTAAAGATTACTGCAAAATGAACACTATCTTCCAAAAGTTTTGTTGCTAAAGTGAAGGTATTCTGATTTGACCGTCTTTGGAAAGGTAATTACATAGTTAAAATGTTCTACCTTTGGTTAGAACTCAGTCTTTTTAATGAGGCACATGTGTTAATTTTGTTTCACTGGAGTATAAGTGGCATTCTTTTCTCAGGAGGCTTGTTGCCTTGCTGAGTAGGCTACAGTTGCTAAAATAAATGTTTTGTGGGCATCGCATTCTGGTTTAGCAACCCCTTTAAAAAGCAAATTAGTTCCTGGAAGTTGCTTGAAATACTGAGCCTAGTAATTGTTAGGGAAATTTGCTTTTATTACTGTCCTTGGTTTTGCAGTATCCATGCTGTATCTTTAAGTGAGAGTTTTGAACGTTGTTAGAACAACAAAGTTTGTTTTGTGTCAAGGAATTGGGTAGGAAAAGTGATGACATTATTTGGTTGTCTCAATTTATAAGTAGTACAGTTATACATAAATAACAATATTAAGTAGTTTATTTTGAAAATACAGTTGAGAATCTTTAAATATGAAGTGGCATTTAAATTGTGTAGTAGGAGGGCTGATTTCTTTGTCCAGGCCAACCAGGAAGCTTTATTTGGGGAGCATCTAGTAATTAAAATTTTAACGTACAATTGGTTTGAGATAAATAGTAGTATACGTTTCTACATAGGAAAATAATTTTATAGTAGAGCAAAGTTCTATAAGCTTGAATGTCTAAACAGTATCTTCTGATGAGTTTTCTACTTGGTATTGCTTATTAGATATTCGAGTTAAAATACCTCTGTTGATTTAGTTAGTTCTTAATAGTTAACTCACTTAGGTAACATGTTTCCCATCTGTGTCATGTTTCCAGTATCGATTCTTTTGTGGATAGTAAGTGTGTTGCTAATTACAGCATATTGTAGTAGTAAAAGCATGGACTTTGGAATCAGACCTGAGTTTGATTTCTGACTTTCTTAAATAGTTGTTTGACTTTGACCAGTGCTAATAGTTACTGAGCAAGCTTACTGTATACTGGGCTTTGAATTAAACACTTGACCTGAAGTGTCTCACTTGAACCCTATTTTACAGATAAGGGAACTGAGGTTCAGAGATTTTAAGTTGTCCAGAGTCACACACAGTTAATCTGGTAAACCTAAAAATAGACATCTCTGGTCACATACAGTAAGTAAATGGTACACACACTAATCACTGAAATTCTGCAACACACCAAAAAACATTTTTTGCCAATGTGACAAAAATAACAGGTATAACTTGGATTTATTTGCACTGGACAGCTGTCGTATGGGCTGTTTTCATTTTTTAAATTTGACAGTCTAAGGGAAGAGAGGTCGGTGCCCTGGACTAAATAGTCTGGTATTGCATGTTTTAAAAATTCTTGTGGCACACCAGTTGAAAATCGCTGCAGTAACAGAGCTAGGATTCTGGCCTTCTTTAAAGTCCCATATACTGCAAGTTGCTTAACTTCTCAGTTTTTCTTCCTTTTTTTTAGTTAACAAAGAATATCAGGGAGTTCTGAGGATTAGCTGAGGACATATGTAAAGAAAGTAACACTTTTCCTGTCACATAATAAGTAGTTTCTTTCACTCTTCCATTCCGTTTACTGAATCAGGCTGTGCTTGTATAGTGTGGTGGTTTTGTAACCACTGTGAATAAAAGGTTTTAAGATGTCAGTATACTTTATTCCTAAGATTAGTAGCAGTCCTGGGAGATGGGCTATGATAAATGATACAGGGCCATCCTGTGAAACTTTGATCTTTTTCTGTATTTTTTCCCAATAGTCTGGGTAATGGTGGAAATAAGAATTTGATGCTGGAAATGACAGCAGGTGATTGTGATTTCTAAAGTCTTGGCAGCTTGTCACTTATTAAAGACAACATTCTTTAAACCTCTTAAAACAATTCACGGTGGTAAGCTAAAAGAAGATATGTAGTGTCTGACATCTACCTGAGACATCATCAGAATGTTTGTTCCAGCAGCGGAACGTATTCTGAATGTGCCATAGAGCTTCTTGTTAAATCTGGATGTGAGAGAGAGCTGACATGGTTTAGTCTTTGGTTTCCGAACATAGTTTGTGTGAAATGACACTAACTGGCCCATGGAGAGAAAAAATCTGGGGTTATCAGAACCATGTCCTAATTAATTTGTGTGGCTAGTTCAGAAAACATGCAAAAACCAAGGAAATAATTGTTAGAGTCTTCCTTGAATTTTGTTGATCTTCGTATTTTGAGAGTAAAGAAATAAGAAAGGATCAGAATTGGGTCATATATTTTGAGACTTAGGTGAAAAAGTAAAAGGTCCTGGGCATATTTAATCTAGGAAAAAACAGGTGGTATTTATAAGATAGAATGTCCTGAAGTTAATGATAATTACTAATTACACAAGTTATGCATTAAAAACATTTGTGTTGGTAAGAGTAAAAGTAGATGTAATGTGAAATGTCATGTAAAATGGTAATTGGAAAAATTGATCCCTGTTATAATAGGGAGTTAAAAATGATTTTATAGTAATCAGTTAAGAAGGGGAAAAAATGGAATGAAGGAAAGGGAGAGCTGTTCAGATAATCAAAGGTCAGAGAATGAGGAGAGGTGAGGATGGTGATTGGTGAAGTTTCCATAGAACACTTCTCCAGAGAGAACTGTCCCGACACCAGAGGTAGTAACATCTTTGACCCAAAGGCTCATATCTGTGCCTTTGCTTCAAATGAGGTGGTGAAACATTAACTCAAATAGCAAACTTTTAAGACTGCCAAATTTTTAAAAAAGGACTTATGTGTTAGAGGCCATATTTGACCTGTGGAAACAGCTCCTCTGAAGCATGTTCCTTTCAAGGTATAGGTGAAAATGCATCTCTTGCATCTTATGTCGCCAAAGGCCACTAATACTAGTGTGAACTGAGAATGCAGGGAGAAGTACCCTATGTTTGAAGTCTTTTTATGTATGTGAGATGTGATGAATTGGGTTATGATTAATTTCTTAATCAAAATTTCTTTTGTTGGCTCTTGCACTTATTCCCTATGGATCTTGCTTTTAAATGATCTGTTGACATTCAGATACTATTAGGTAAGGAATTAAATTTCTGAGAAAAGTACGTTAACTGTCTAAAGTACAATTTCTTGATTACATGATGTAGAACTTGCTGATGTCTGTAGAATCTTTCTCAGAAATTTTGAATAGAAATATTTATCACTGTTATTTTATATGAAAGACAGTTCTACCTCAGTGATAGCAAGCTAGTTGACTTTTTATTTAGTTTTTCTTATTTTTTTCCACAAAGGAATTTGTGAGTTGGGCATTGAAATGAAGAGGTATGAGATTGGAAAATAATAATACTGAATGGTCATAGATAGATCATAGACTAGTCCCTTATTTTTACAGAAAGGGAAACTGATATCTGGACGGGTAAGTGATGCAACTAAAGTAGCTGGGATTAGAAGCTTTATCTTAGTTGGGTATTCTTTTCACCCTTGCCTTTATTTTATGCTCTAGTATTGGCATATCTCAAAACTCATTGTGTGTGTGTTTTATTTTTTTCCTACTGAGAACCAGCTTTTAAGGGTTGCTTTTGATTACTTGACAGACTTCTATTACATTTTTAGTTTATTTTAAAGTAAGCTATGGTCTAGCTCCCACATATGTATCCCTGTTCTATTTTTTCTAATTTTGTGAATAGGTTGAAAAATATGTTATTAACTTTGGTACAAATGGCAAGTGATTTGATTCCTAATTCTTTCTGATCTAACGAGCTGAGTAAAGTCAAATCACCTTTTATGTGGGGACTTTGGGCCTAAATTCTCGTTTAAGGTAAAAATCTTGTCAAAATTACCGTTGAAAAAGTCCTTTAGGAAGACACCAGTTTGAAAAATGGTTAACTGATACATTGTTTTTCAGTTCTGACAGCCTGGTTTTCCTCCAGCTTTGCGAATAGGCTGCTTTTTCAGTAAGCTGGATGATGACCAGCGGGTGGGATGGTGTCTGACAGGCAACTGGGTTTTCAGGTTGGCTGAGGGGCAGCACGTTGATAGTCTCCACTGCAGGCTTACTTTGGTGCAAGGGTGAAACGCAGACCTCCTTGCCACCATTATTCAAAGTATTTTTTCTCTCTTGCTTTTCTTTTTTCCTGTAGCACAGAGTTTTGAATGGGTATAATGAAATGTATGTATGGTTTAACTCCACACTGTGAATAAGGGAGAAAGAAATTAGATATTTATGAAAATCTGCTATTTCCTTAGAGTCATACCACACCAAAAAAACTTAGCATAGTTAAAAGGCTAATTAATAAAATTGGGAATATTGGGGAAATATTGGTACTTTGTCTAATTCTGGGTTGATACTCAGCTACTTTCAGTGTTTTTTAAGAGCTGTCTTCCTTACTGCTGGCAGAATCTGCATTATGTTAAAAGAACTATAGAAGTTAATGTTTTACATGGAATTTAAAGTGTCTGAATCTAAATGTTCTTGAGATAGCACAGTAAGAAAACACCAGTCTTTAAAAAAGACAGTATGACAGCTAAAGATGCCCTGGGAGAGGGCATAGTGTGTTGGTTAAAATGTAGGCTCCAGAGCCATTGACAAGTCATTTTGAATTTCAGCCTCATCATTGAACTAGCTTTGCAGTTTGGGTCAAGTCACTTAACAGTTTTTAGTTTTTTCATGTGCTGAATGGAGGTAATAAAACTTACCTGAGTATGGTGAGGATAAGACGGCTTGGTAAATAGTCATTTACTATTTATTTGTTAGTAATATTTAACA